TGCTGTTTACAAACCTGCATATCAAATAAAAAATAATGCTGATTATTTATTTGAACAAGTAATCTGATATTAGGAAAATGAGACAAATCAACTACTTATTACCTTACAACCACAGCCATTTGCTCTCTGATTGAGATATCACGTGATTCATCAATATAGACAGAGAAACAACGATCCCCAATCTCTCCCATAATAACTTTAGTAACCTCCTGTGCATAAGCTCTCACAAGGTCCTTTTGAATATCTGGAGAAACCATTTTAGCATTTTCTGGACACAACTCATCAAATGCAATCCTCACATCTTCATTCTTCTCTTTGTTTGAATCAATCATCTCTAGATAATTGCCCTTATTTAATGATGATGAAGATTCATCGTGTCCACGAAAAGAAAGACCTTGCTTAATGAGATATTTTGCTGAATCTAAAGCAGTAGTCAGACGAGTTTTATATCTTTTTTCAGAGTCTTTGCCATAATTTTGGAGCTTACGATCTACACCTGCTCTTTGATTCTTAAAATCAGCACAAGCTGTAATATCCCAACCTTTATCAGTATTAATAATATTTCAGTTCCGATATTACTTTTCGGAGTTATTTATTCTCAGTTAATTCAGTCGAAATTACCGGAATCATTTTCGATGTACCATTTACGTTCGGAATAATTTTGGTAATTTAGTATTATGTTTAATTTGAAAAATTAAACATAATTAAGTGATTAATTTAATTTAATCACGAGATTAGCAATAGTTCGGATTTTATTCCGGATTCATGCTCGATGCCGTGCGTGTGCACGTTCGGTTCAAGGTCATGCGTGCGCAAGTATCCGTGCGAGTGTCCCGGTCCATCAGTTCGTGCGCGTTCGCGTCCGAGGGTTCGTCCGAGTTCGCGTGTGCGAGAGAAGCCGTGCGTGTCCATAAACACCGCGCGTGGACGGAGTATCCGAGGGCGTGTTAGATCCCGCGAGAATCCGCGCCCAACATACTCGTGTGTATCCGTGCGCCTCATTGTCTCATTGCTACGAAGTCCGCGCCACCCCCCCCTTGTCCTCTAGCCGGCGGAGACTCCTATGCGCATTGTCCCTCTTTTGTCCGCAAGTCCGTGCCTTGCCCTTGGCACATAGTGGGCGGAGTTCTCTATGTGCGTTGTCTCCTCCTTGTCCGCGTATCCGCACGAGGTTGTGCACAAGTACCCGAGCTTTATTCCCACATCTTGCCTTCACGTGAGTGGGACGAGTTCTCCCCTCATTTTCTCCGCCTCACTTCGGTATTTAACAAGGACTTAGGATTATTTTGTTCCTTTTCCTTCACATTGCCGAGAGTAAAGTGAGGTCGAGAGTTAGTGAGATAGAGCGTGAGTTTGTGTGTGTGTTCGGGAGCTAGTCCAAGAATTCACGCGTCCGCGAGCCTTCACGAGGAGCAAGTTCACGCAACGCTACCGCATCGTTCACGCACCGCACGCGGGAAAGGTCACGGCCGAGAGTTTAAAGTTTAGTCCGAAGCTTATTTGAAAGGTAAGTTCCTTCGAATTTTGCTCGAGTATGCTAGCATGTTTATTTTAGATGAGTTGTTATAGTACTGCATGCGTGTTATATGTGAGCTATAGCCATTCCGTGCGATCATGATTTATGCTAA